ACCAGCCAGATGTTGCTATTTTTAAAAGCCACAAAGGAGAATGCTCTTTTCTCCAGCAGTGCGGGGCCAGCTACAAGAGGCTTGATAACAAAGGCTTATTTTTAACTGTGGTTTTCTTTCTGAAAAGAGTTTAGCATATACATCACGAGCTGATAAATTCCCAAGGAGGTTTTCATTTTTCATTGCACTCAAGCTAATTCATTCACAGGCTACACCTCGCCACTAGTAGTTTAGTCTCAGCACTAAACTGTCTGACGAGGGCTGGACCGCTTTTAGCAGTGCAAGATAGCCCCCTCCTCGTTCTCTGCCCTGAGTCCTTTGAAGGCAAATGGAGCTTTTGCTCCAGGCAGAGGCTGTATTTCTTACTGCGCCCCCCAAGTATATCTGTGTAGGGTGTGAAAAAGAAAAAATCACATTCCCTGCTCTAATGAGATAAGGATTGCTTGGAAAAGTCATAAAGGGAGAGACTGTAGTATGTGTGAGGCAAAAAAAAAAAAAAAACAGCGGTCTACAAATCTTTCTTTGTAGAAAATGTTGTCACCATAATAGAAACGATGCCATTATACTGAAGCCATAGCAAATTATTGAAATAATATATCATTTTTATTTTGTATAAAGCTGACATCTGTTTTTTTGTTAAACAACTGTTTTATATATAAAGATGTATACATTTAAAAAGAAACATTTTCAATTAATCACTATAACACTTTAATAATAACAGAGAATGAGGTAGATCAGGGTAAGCTGTGCCAGTATGTCCTCTATAGTACATAAAACGAAACTGGACACATTTTTTGTCCAACCAATGTTCTATTTGAAAACACTCAAACAGTCATTTTGTAATTCGTTTGTGTTTTTGATATGGGTGTGTAATTTATGTTGTCGAAAAACCTTGAAGCATGTTTACCACAGACCTTAACCCCACAGGAAAATCTCGAGGGAATCTGTGGCGAATTAGTTTGATGTCATTCCTTCACCACTCTATTGCAAAGGTCTAAATGCGGCCCTCAGAGAAGATCCAACATAAAAGATCTCAGAACGTGGGTTCAAAAGAGTCTTATTAAATGTTTTATGCTCTGTCATATCTCGAATTATGTGTATCCCTGTGTGCCGGAAACATCATTAGGGTAGTTTCCAAAGAGAAAGGGGCTGCTGCATATCACACAGGTCTTTTATGAAGGATCCTCTGCCTTTTAGCTCTACCATTGTCATTTCCATTTATTGAAAATTCTACAAATGCCTTTGGTGATGAATGCAAGTGTGAAGTGAAGTGAAGTGATGAGAGGACAGAAACGTTTGTACTGCAACATCAAAAAGTAGCTTCTCGTTTGAAGAACAAACACACTGCGTTGGCAACCATAGGGGATTACGCTGCACTCCCCCAGTGGATGGCTCTGATTGGCTGCTGGAATATTGACCTTGACCTTCAGAGTTAGAGGGAAAAGCTTAGCTTAAAAGAAAGACAGGGTCAAAAGTGTGATGGTAAACCACAGGGACAGAACTTGACAGTAAAATGAAACAATTTTAGGTTCTGAATTGTGTATAGAACAGTGAACTGTGTGCAGTTGACAGACAAATTAAAAACTTTTCAGCCATTTATTATTCAAACGGGTGCAAAATAATATACTTGTGTTAAAGATTATTTAACATTTTCTAGAAAACACCACTGGGCTACAGGCCAAGTGTTTTATTCTATGATGAATGATGAAAATACAATTTATTCAGAGCCATATATATACAAGATAGATTTTTTTATGAAACAATTTCACTTCACTAAAATGCAACCTAATTCATATACACTATACTGTTAAATATTTAGTCAAATGGTTAGTAGGTCAGGCAGATTTTATTAATATTTTTATTTAACAAGGACACATTAATTGATCACGTCAAAAAAAAAAAAAATAGTGGCCTGACTAGTTTGAAAATTGTGCAGTCACAGTGTGAACTCAGCATAAGGATCACTGAACTTTATTTTATTTTTATTTTAAATTCTAATAATATTTCACAATATTGCTGTCTTTACTGTATTTTAAATCACACAAATACAGTGTTGGCAAGAGACTTTTTTCAAAAGCAAACAAACAAACAAACAAATACATCTGTGTATGTATAAATTACTGGTGCTCTTTATCTGAATTATGAATCCTGAAAGAACGTTAGCAGTTGTCTAAAAATATGCTGGCACTTTGCAAAGAAGCTCTGTGTGACTCAGCATCAGTCACTTAAACAAACCACCATTCCTTTCTTATTTTCCCAGACATTCCATGCTCTGTGTGTTTTGGTGAATACACTCAAAATGACACAGATGTCAAAGACTGACATTTAAACCGGCCTGACAAAAATGAGAAAACATGCATGTTAGTTTGCCGGCTGTGAAAAATACTCTGCGCCTTTAGTGGGGCGCCTTTTGTCACCTAGCACTGAATACCTGTGAGCATAACTGACTGTCTCATTCTGAAAAGATGCACAATACACAGATGCACCCGGCAATAAAACTGTCACACTAGCAAAAACTTTGCTATGAGTATGTTTATTCTCTCTTATTTGCTGAGTAAAGAGATCCGCAACTGTTAGGACTACCTGTTCAGAATACAAATGAACTTTTGTTTATTTACTGTCTGGCTTGATTCTCACAAATTATCATTGTGCTCATGTCAGTTAAAGCAAAGACTGTGGCCCATTGGGGTGTGATAAGAGCCTTAAGCTAAGTGTTTACAAGATAATTAATAAAGATGATAAATGACAAACCACATGCCCCATGTGCATGAAGACCCCAACCGAGAGACAAAGGAAAAAAGAAGCAAGAGCAATAACAGCATAGATGTCACCTTTCCAAAGCTTTAAAACCTAACAATGGCTTTAAACATGACTTGTTCAGTCACAATTTAGAGTTGAAAACCATTTCTTAAATGGTGTGTCTGTAAAATTGCAGACAATTCAGCTCAAGCACATGTGAAGCCCTTGTGGACGCTGTTTGGATAAGTGTTTTTGTCAGGCGGTGTTTTCTTTTACATTTGCAGTCAGGTGAAACAAGTGACAGCAGAAACCTTTTCGGCAACGTGCACTTGCACACGGACGAGCCTCATTCCACGAGACATGAAGGCGGCTGGAAGGCGTTCTGCTGATGTTGGCACAAAATATGGAACACAACTGCTCCTGCCCCCCATAACAGTGCTTGATTCAAACGTTCAAACATCCACAATTCCTTCAGTTTCACACTGAAAGGGTTTGGGAAACACTTTATATATACCTTAATAATACTGATTATTAAGAAGTCATCATTGGTACAACTGAGACGTGTCAAAATGCTTCTATTTTGCAATTTTTAACAAGTTTAAATACACTCACTTAAAGGATTATTAGGAACACTATACTAATACTTTGTTTGACCCCCTTTCGCCCTTCAGTACTGCCTTAATTCTATGTGGCATTGATTCAACAAAGTGCTGAAAGCATTCTTTAGAAATGTTGGCCCATATTGATAGGATAGCATCTTGCAGTTGATGGAGATTTGCACATCCAGGGCACGAAGCTCCCATTCCACCACATCCCAAAGATGCTCTATTGGGTTGAGATCTGGTGACCCATTTTAGTACAGAGAAAAGAAATTTTCTCTGTACTAAAAAAACAATTTGAAAAGAAACCAATTTGACACTATTCGAGCTTTGTGACATGGTGCATTATCCTGCTGGAAGTAGCCATCAGAGAATGGGTAGATGGCCATAAAGGGATGACATCCCCCACACCAATACACCAGCACCACCAGCCTGCACAGTGGTAACAAGGCATGATGGATCCATCTTCTCAAATTGCACTTCTATCAGCTTGAATCAGTCTGCCCATTCTCCTCAGACCTCTAGCATCAAAAAGGCATTTTTGCCCACAGGACTGCCTGCCGCATAGTGGATGTTTTTCCCTTTTTACATCATTCTTTGTAAACCTTAAAAAAGGTTGTGCGTGAAAATACCAGTAACTGAGCAGATTGTGAAATACTCAGACCGGCCTATCTGGCATCAACAATCATGCCACACTTAAAATGGCTTAAATCACCTTTCTTTCCCATTCTGACATTCAGTTTGGAGTTCAGGAGATTGTCTTGACCAGGACCACACTTTTAAATGCATTGAAGCAACTGCCATGTGATTGGTTGTTCAGATAATTGCATTAATGAGAAATTGAACAGGTGTTTCTAATAATCCTTTAGGTGAGTGTAAATTAACTCCTAATAATAAACTCAAATTGCACTTTCAGTATAATATTAGCCAAAACGTTCAAGTAGACTCCAAAAGTTTGTGTAAAACCCGATTATGATGTTATCCACATCGAATTAAGAATGTTTCAAAGAGTATCTTGTGAACGAAAGCAAGAACATCAGACCACATGAGTTTGCATATTATTGACCTTGAAATTTCAAGATATTTCTTCTTCATTTTAGAAGGATGTTTTGTTGTTGTTGTTGTTGTTGTTATAATTAAAAAAAGATTCTCAAACTTTACAGGATAAAATTCTGAAATACAGATTGTCACTATTGTCTCAGACTTTTGCACCCATCTAATAGAATAGAATAGAATAGAATAATGAAAGGAATTATAAAGTCTTAGGGGTGATTCACATATACGTTTTTTCCATTCCACTGCTACTACCAAAGACATAGACGGACGTCTTTAACAGTTGTGCTCATGTCTTTTGCAGCACATCCCGCATGACAAGGCATTCTAAACTAAAGTTAAAAAGCGCTCAAGTAAAAGTAACTTTTAACAAGTTTTTAACAGCAAAAAATGCATTCTGTGTGAGCTGCCCCTAAGAATTCACAGTGCCATCGCTAAAATTGGACCCCATTCATCACAGACTCCAGAACTAACTATTTTTGGATCTAAGAAATCGTAAAATGCAGTACAAATCACCTTGAATGCTAAAGTGGTCAATCAATATGGGTTTTCCAATGACTGATTCTTAAACTTTTAAATTCCCCACAGATAAAGACAAGCGTTACATACCTTTCGCAGCAGGCAGCAGATCCTCTCAATATTTCGCAGCCTTTCACGCTGTTAAAAGAAATAAAGATCTGTTAAATCTCCTATAGCACCTAAAACGTCAGTCTCAAGGACAAAACATCCTTCATTTGATAAAATGTTGATGTGATGCATCAAAAAAGCAGGAGTAGGGTGGATTTTTAGATTTTAACTTGACTTAAAAAGTCCATGAGTGTACATACATTCATACGTGTTTGTGTCACAGTGGTTGGTTTTGACATCGCACTGCTGCCTAAGGCTTGTGTTTTCTGTAGCTCCTGGCCAATGTTCTTGAGCACTGTACACTGGCAAGGACATCGAGGGACTTTCATTTAGAAAAATAACAGCCAAGACGTGGAAAAAACAGCAGGGAGATTTTTGAATGACATGTGGTGATTCCATCCAAACATGTACGATTTGGGGGTCAGGAAAAGTGGCGATACTCTCAAGGGAGAATGGATATTCACACTCCCAGACATAGTAAAGTCAGTGCTTTATCATTTAATCACATATGTGCAATGGATTAAATCTAATTCAACAGAGATTTGAATACATGGTCTGTTGGTTCAAATCAGGATAGCGTTTCCTTTTTTTTTTTTGCACCAATAATTTCTACTTTCTCTGAATGCATTTTTTCCCCTTTTTTATGCACTATGGAATATTTTTTCCTATTTGAGGCACACAAAGAAGCAGAACTCAGTGGGAGCCATGTGTGGATGTACGTTTGGCACAAATAAATCTTACATGAGTGACACAGAAGAAAAATGGCCACGCTGCTTAAAAGAGCCCTATTCTCATGCCCTTTGGCAAGAAGTGAAAAGATGTTGTTTTCTACAGTAATGAAGACTAAACATACATATTTTATTGCCATTTTTTTACATTTCAACTTAACTTCATTCAAGACAATGCATTATTTATACAACTAGCCTGCACATGTAAATAATGTACTATTATTCACTAATACAGAGCCACCCATAGTGACCACAGCACTCCTCCTCAGCAAGAATGGCCTTTTTAGTCACTTTAGTCACACAAACAAACTAAAGATGATGCTATATTCTTATTTTTCTAGTAAATTCTAGTTGGTTTTTTTTACATGTACAAATATTTAGCAGACAGGGGCGTCATCATGAACCTGTTTTTCTTGAGAGGCAGCAATAGAAGTCCTTTCTCACTTGGTTGTGCCCTATCCAAGATAATACATTAGAGATTTATTTTTTAATTGCTTAATTGCTAATTTAATAAAATACATATTCAGGCTCAAATAATATGTAATAGAATATATATATCGAAGTAAAAGAGTTTGTATAATAATATATTTAAACAATATAAAGATCTTGCAATAATATAACAACATCATTATATTTAATATGTTATTATTATATTTAACACTATATATAATAATTATATATTATATTATAAATTAGATTGGTGTATTTAAACTTTTTTTTACTATGATCTAACAATATATTTTTCAAAGATACAAATAATTCCAGTTCCCTGGCAAAAAAAAAGTGTCATGATGCTTCTATTGCTGAATTTTGATGAAAAAAAAAAAGACTTTCAACTGTTTCAATTTCAACTGTTTTTTTCTAAGGCTTTGGATTGACAACCCCCCACTGTCTTGTTTCAGCAGCTGTGTTTCAGAGATTACACCAAACATCCATGAAAGTTAGACAGAACTCAGTCTCTGACTATTTTTGGACCGTATACCTCATTTTAGTTCATCCAAAATTTGCCTCAGACTTGTTTTCACACCATTCCACTCCTCAACAACAGCATGCAAATATATTCCACTGGCAGCCATAGCGACTGGAGATAACTGCAGCCATATCAGCACTTTTAATTAGCAGGCAATTAGACTCGGATCCCTTTGAAATATTCGTCAGCACAAATTCTGCTTGACAAGTGCTTGCATACAGTGTAAACAATATATTAAATACAGGACAGAGAGTCAATTCAGCAGCAAGATCATAATGTTCTTGAGACATAGAATCTGCAACATACGGTAATCCTTGACGGAGATACAAATGCAAACAGAGCTGAGTCTCAATCTCTGATGTGCAAATAATATTCAGCACACCAATAATAATGCATGGCATAGAAAAGAGCATCAACAGAATAAAAAGCTGAGCCAAACTATTTTGGTCACTTTTGCTTTGCATTCCCTAAAATCATGAACAAAACGGATAAGATATACAAAAATATTTATTTATATTTTTTTTACTAAAAGATGACCTAGACCTCCTTAAATAGGGGTTCACATGCAGTGAGGTTTTGCTACAATCCAAAATTTTCAATTGTTTTATACAAAAAAACATGGCTTGTCTAATGTGAAATATGGGCCCTGTTATCGAGAAATGTTTTTTGAGCTTCTGACCTTAGCAAAAATATAAGAGCTATGCTGTATGTTTGTTGTAACACCCCTCATCTCTCTCTCTCTCTCTTCAGTGTAATCTTTCAATGCCAGAGTAAAATGGTCAGGCTTGCTGCTCAGCTCATGCAGCTAATTGAGTGGTATGGAGAGTAACAGATGATATTTGACCCCAAAGGGACCATCCGTATCATATTCAAAGTGGGCCCTGAGGAGGGTTGTGTGACCTCTACTAAGGCGGACGTGTTGGGTAATATTGTTACCATAAGCTCTGAATTAGACGGTTAGCTAATTTTTTAGCAATGCTCCTGTGGATCAACTGGTAAAGCTTAGCGCCGTCAAATATGGGTTTGATTCACAGGGATCACATACACTGCACTCTAAAAAATGCTGGGTTGTTTTTACTCAATTTTGGGTCAAATATGGACAAAGCCAAATGTTAGATTATAAGTGCAATTTTAAAATGTAACCTAACGGCTGGGTTTGTCCATATTTGACCCAAAATTGGGTTGAAAAACCCCCAGCATTTTTTAGAGTGGGGGAAAATGTATAGCTTTAATGGAGCTACTGAATGTTGTTTTTGATTACGTGTCTATGGAGGTATATATACAGTATGTATAAAACGGAGCTGATTGGTCATATTGTGCACGCTGACGAACATCTGGATCATAACGATCTTGCCGTCATGCAAGCAACATAATGATAGCTTTAGTTTAGTGTTGTTTTACATTGAAATCAGCCACATGTGTGGTGATGTCTACATTAGCATGATAAAATGTTAAAAGCTTGAGCACATCAGGCAGCGCAGCAGATACAAACTCGGTCAAATGAGCACATAATGTTAACATGAAGGATGCCTCGTTTCAACACATAAAGAAAACTCATCAAGGATTATTAGAGCATCTTATAAATGAATAGCATCAGAAGTGTTTAATTGCTGGAGAATTACGTCTTGAACGCCTTCACAGAATTAGCCGGGCAGTCAAGGACAGTTAAATGTGACAGTTCTGCTAGCTCTCGCTCTTGGATTTATCAGAGACATTAAAGTTTACAACTTTTAAACCTCACTAAATTATGTTTGTTTTATGTTTCAAAAATTGCCAAATTGGGTAAGAAAAATATGTACAATCCAAGTCTTATGCTAATATCCTTAGCAGTTTTGATTCACAAGTTAATATATCTTGTTTCAAGGGTTTAGATATTATTTACTGGAAAACAAGACAAAGGTACTAGGGTTGTGATTCAAGTAAACAAAAAGGAATTAATTAATCTCTGTTATGAAATCTGCAATCATGATTACACATTGAATCCTCAAAACCTTTATTTACATAACACTATTTATATAACAAATTATCAAATTATCTTCACATTAATAAACAGGAAAATAATGTTTTAAAATTCATTAGTTATAGAACTAATTTAATTTCAGCCATAAAGCAGCTCCGCAGACGATAAATAAATGTGATTATTCAGCTCAGTTTAATTCTATTCGATTCAAATTCCCTTCAATAATGGTCAAAGTTGTAAAGTTAATCATTTATGAAACACGTCCAATTCCGCTATAAGCAGCTTTACAGAAGACAAGTGTCATTTTTCCGTTTAAGTCAGTTAATTCAAATTCTGTTCAAAAACAGTGGCAATGTTGTAAAGTTAGTGTCATTATCCAGCTCAATCCAGTTCAAATTTTGTTCTTATACAGTGTCAGTGCAGTTAAATTGATTATATTACTGAATATTAAATTCAACATCGATACCAATGCCTGTAGTGATATCGAAATACTATTAACAGTTTTTTTTTGTTTTTTTTGCAATTTCTGAGGATGGAGAAAAAAGTATGTGTACCCATTCAAGCATGGCTGATATAGGATAAATGCGAACCATCCCTTTTTCCATCCAAAACATATAGCATTTAACGCTAGCCAAAGGAAATTGGGAAGAAAACACATTAGCGTAGCCTCAAAATAAAAATGCTGTATTAATTGCGTGAATTAATTAAAATGAAAAAGCCTGAGAGACTGAAAGCCACGACTGTGTTGACTAGAGTCATAAGGGGAGCTCCAATCAATGAGAATCACAGGATGAAGTCCTGACTTCCTCCCAGCTGAAGACTGACAGAAGACACCAATTAGCCAGGCAGGGTGTAAGATTGACTTGACTGTGTGGTGAGATCAGCTAGGAGGCCATCAATCTTTTAGCACACCCCACCTTCCAGATCCTCCATAGTTCCCTCCAGTCTGACAGAGGGGAGGGTGACATATAGAGCGTGTAACTCTTACTTTGACACTTTGTTGGGAAGACAACAATAAATTACGACAACAGAAGTTCGGAGCGGAACAGATCCGTGACTCAGATACTTTGTCTACACATCACGGTGCCCTATTCTGAATGAGACTTTCTGACACAAAGTCCCAAAATATCTACATTCGCCTCCGCCATTGTCTCTTGATTTGTTTTCTGTCACAACATAGCCTGGCGAGTTATGAAGTGCACACATGTTAATTATTCTGCAATGCTGGCATCTAGAATGACAATGTTGTTCTAAACTTTTGGATAACAGTTGGTGTATCCAAAAAGCTGGAAAAGTTGCCTCATTTGAATTAATTAGTAAGATAAAAGCTGCCAGGGCCTCAAGCAGAGGAAAGACAACACATAGACAGCTGCTCTATGGATTATTCATGCAATGCTGCGGATGACAGGAAATGTTTCCGAGTTTGGGGTAGGCAACACACCTGGTGCCTGCAAAAGATCAGAGGGCTTGCTAAAATATATTCCCACCATAAACAAATAAACACACACACACATTTATGTCTGTGAAAGTGCAGGAAAGGGCAATGAATCAAATGATCAAGTCTATTATTTGCATGACTTACCGCGTGAAGTGGATTGCCCTGATCGATCGGCACCTTGAAGTCTGCCTGAAGCTCATCAAAGGCTGTTATCTGAAAACCCAAAGAAAAAAAGAAACATGATCATTATCATTAGGCTAGACGCATGGATTTGCAGTGTTTGCACAATCTTCAAGGATACATGCTCTTTTGTTGAGATGTATCCTTCGTTATTTCAGCATCTCATTGTTATAAAGTATAAGTAGAGCTGACTAATCTATATATACACACACACACACACACATTCTAAAAAAAATGCTGGGTTGTTTTAACCTAATTTTGGGTCAAATGTGGAAAAAAACAGCCATTGGGTTACATTTTTAAATTACATTTTTAACCCAATGTTTGAGTTTGTCCTTTTTTACATATTAATATTGACAAAGTGTATATATTATACATGAGTCATAAAAGATCATTTAAAATGCTAAAATAATGTTCATGATCTTTTTTGAATCTTGAGTTCTGCAAAATCTTGAATATATCATTACATCAGGTGGAAGTGCTTGATGTCTCAAAAATTGCATAGATTGCCAATGCATATAAAATTATCCCCTTTAGTTAATGCATTAGAGCAAAAAAGGGTATTATGGTGCCTTATGGCTACAGCACAATCACAAGCCAAGAGAAGCCTAAATTAAAGTTGGATCAAATTAGACAAGCTTATTTCCCCTGTTACAGACTAAACTGCCCTCTCTTCCCACACTGCCTCTCTCATAGTAAACCAAATGCTCTTTCAGTTCTGTAGGCGACGTGAGCAGTAAAAGGGGTTGATTTTGACAGCTTTTCTGCTCTGCTGTCAGATAATGAGTTATGAGTTATCATGGGAATTGCTACGTAAAAAATGCATTAAATACACGGTTTTAAATCTGGCCATCCTATAATAATCACATTAAGATTTGCACCACGAAAGGGGGATCATTGAACCATAGAAACAACACAAGTGGAATAAATAACTGAACACTTCTCTTAATGTTGATGAAGCATAAAAACCACTTAAAACAGGTTCATTTAAAATAAGGCCGGGTTTAAACCTGATAGCAGCATGTGAGTTTTTAATCATAGTAATACATTCAAAATGTCCCTGCATAAGTTGCATGTCTTCTACTGTGTGAGCAAGATGCATTCCCATAGCCATGTTACTAAAAAAGACAACCAACAAAAAATGTAACATGTGCATAATGCATCCATGTGGAAACATTGCTGTTTTGTTCCCTATGTGGCATCAGTATACCCATTTGGGGATTACGTTACTGAAATGAGCTAAGCTGACTTCAGAAATGTACTGTATATAAACATACGTATGTGACAGAATGGTAATTTTTGCTCAGTAAATGGTTCAGTGCAGATTTTTTTTTTTTATAATTCAAAATTATTTCCTCATAAACACCCTGATATGTATCCATGATTATAACACATTGTGCTGCGGTCAGTAAAATGGAATCAGGCTCTGAGAAATGATAGATTGTTGCTGGATTTCCTGCTGTATACTCTCTACAAATGTTATCATGCTTGACCTCATCCATCACCTCATTCTCTAACACTGACCCCATACCTATTATTTCCAGAATTGTGTTGGAATTAACTTTACACATCCTCTTAGTGGTATTACCCATAATTTGGGGTCAGAGACCTTCCGTAATACTATAAGCTACAGTAAATGACAAAACCAACATAAGCTCACTGGAAACGTGCCTCACATATTTTTGCAAAACCCTTGTATAAAATTCACTGCAGATTCCAGCCAAAATTAGTGGCAATAAAACATGAAAAACTTCTTCCTTTTCACACAAATTATGATTACGGGCAGATCATCTATTAATAAACCATTATTTTTGCGTGGTTCCTTGTACAACACAATGTTATGACCTTAAAATACTTTTACCATTGTGCATCCTTAACCAATACTATTTGATGTTTGTATCACATATGGCATTTCTGATGTAGTAAATTTGCTTGGTAGTTTACAGCGATATAGAGAAGTACAAGCAAAATTCACACCATGAATCAAAAGTCACAGTAAAAGAGCTCAAAGACTTGAAGAGGCAAGCTAAAATTGCATCTTATGCCTGGTTCAAATTACATGATTTTTTTTTTGTCTGTTACAATAGTCACTGATTACGTGATTTTGACTCCCAAAATCTTGTCGTGTCGTGGACAAGACACATGTCAGACTACACGTTGCTTCCTGACCAGTCATCGCATGCCATCGAGAAGGCGAAACTAGTAGTGATTGACTTCCGGAAGCGAACGTAAACAAACAATGGATGAAGCGTGAGTGTTGTATTGGTTGTCCTGTGTTCAGAAAAAAAGTTAAAAAAGAAAGAAAACCCGACAATGGACACGTTCCTTCATTGCTTGAAGAGGACAGTATGGGCTGTCAATCCTCCAAAGAGAACTTGAGGTAAAATATTGTTTTCTTATATATTTTTAGTTTTAGTTTTAACGTTAGCACCATCGTCTCTCTTTCGTTTCGCCATTTTTTAGTTGTTGTGTATGGAAGTTGTGTATGGAAAAGCTTCTGTGCTCCTATTGGTCAACCTCATACATGTGACGGAACCGTTGTTGATGACCGTTAATTAAAATTAAACATGCTAGTCTTTTTGTCGTGATGTCATGAAGCATTGCAGACGTGACGTAGGTTGTCGTCCACTATGACACTATTCTAGATGATACGATCAAATCTTGCGTCCCGACGCCCGTTGTCGTTTACAAATCCCCACAACACCCTACGTCAAATGGATTGTGCCAAAATCGGGCTAAAATGGTGTAATCTGAACCAGGCATTAGTTTTACTTTTGTTAACATTAGGACATTAGAACATTAGGGTGCAGTTCACCTTGCAGCATAATAAAGGTGTCCTTCGATGTTGAACAAGAGCGTGTCGTAGTAGTTTGCAGGATTACTGAATTAAACTTGCCACAATTAGGACGGCCACTACATCTCAATAATACATTCAACCCTTCACAGATGAACGCACCACTGCACTCACAGATAATCTGTTAAATACTGTTCTAAACTGTGCATCTTTGGCAGGCGTTTTGTTGGCACTAATGTGTTGGTTTCCAATGGCTGTGAAAGTGTATTCGAAACATCTGCTGAGGGAGCTTCTGACTCTCTGAGTTAGTTAAGCTAATGTGGGGATCATTTCCCCTCAGATGTAGAATAACACACAAGGGGAAATATGCAGATTAGGATTCCCTTTAGACGGTTAAACAGGATTTCTTTGAAAAGGACAACAGTCATATTATGCTGAGCTCCAAGTTGAGATAACGAAAGATAGAAGATAGACATAGCTGTGTTTGAAAACAATTCGGATTGGTGCCACTAATGATTTTTGTGACATTATCAAAACATGAAATGTGCAGTGAGTGGTGCTAAAAAGAGAGTTTAGTTTTACTAGAAAAGTAGATAGGGATGGACAATATCGGTCCTGGAGAGTTTAGCTCCAATCAAACACAGCTGAACAAACTAATCAATAACCTCTTTCACACATTCAGTCTTTACTGGTAAATTAACCTTAAATTTCCGGTGTAGTGCCGAATTTCAACCCCCCAAGCATTGGTAAGTTTAGGATTAGTTGTGGGGGAGGGGGTGGGATTAGGGATTAGGCAATCAGGTACTGACTTCAATGAGGGGGGTAATAATTTGTCAGGGGGTTCGAAATTCGGCACAACACTGGTAATAGATCACAACGCATTCTCATCCCAAGGCATCATATACTGACGTTTTTGCCAATTCGTGTACATCCAACGCACATGGCACCCTTTAGCATCAATATAACACACACAGAGTATGGGTAGGTTTAGGTCGGGGTAGGGTTAGGGTTAGACCACTAGGAGGCACCTTCTGGCCCATATATATTTGCGTCTCATATTGACGCTAAAGGGTGCCATGTGCATTGGATGTATACGCATTGGCAAAAGCGTCAGTATATGATGCCTTGTGATGAGAACGGGCTGTAGATCATGTGTGAACACGACCTTTTCAAAAATACCGGCAGGCCTATATCAGTTCTGGCGTAAGAAGTTTTCTTTGGGCCAGCTTTTTCAACGTGACGCGCTCGAGACGCAGCCTTGTTCCATTCATCAAGCATTGTGGCTCTGCAGTTGGATAACTACTACTATTATGCGTGAAGAGTAAAACATGTTCTGTTTGATCATCCCTTATGCCTCTCAATCAGAAGTCAAAATATTTTGTCAAATTGGACAGTGAAAAAAAACTCCTCAGGCGGGCAAATAAAGATAACGGCACAGCGTTTAAAGATCATTTCCAATGACTGACTTCACAGAATTTACTGGTATTTTGGTGCTGATGTGTGAATAGTCTCTACCGATAAAAATCCAGAATGTTGTTGTTTTTGCGAACAACCAACCCGATCTCACGAGAACTCGTACGAATTTTACGAGGTGGCCAATTCGTACGACCTCACTCGTACGAATTAATACGATTTTTGCTAAATCGTACATATTTTACGAATTGGCCAATTCGTATGAATTCGTACGAATGACCTACCCCTGACCCCGCCCCTAAACCTACCCATCACGTGGGTTTGGACAAATCGTACGAATTCGTACAGGTGAGGTCGTATGAATTAGTACGAATTAGCCACTCATTAATCACTCGTACGAATTCGTACAAATTGGTCGTGAGATAGCGTAGGAACAGCATATTTGTGTATTTACCGGTAAAGTAATTCTGATAATTTTACAGTAATTTAACTATATTGCTGTGTGAAAGGGGCTAATGTCTTCAGGATTAGTAGGCTACAGGCAGGTGAGTTTGTTTTATCATTGTTGGAGCTAAACTCTACAGGACAGTGGCAATGAATAACTGATGTTGCCTATCCATCCCTAAATTCTTTTTTGGTGTTTTAACCACACACCTTGGCTGAACCTGAAATCGCTCACTATACCCTCGAATAAGGCATTATTTGAGGAGACAGCCATTTGTAGTGCTGTCCGAAACCATAGTGAACGTTATCGAGTGCACTCATTCTATACATTGCACCGCAAGACCAAGTGTACAGCCAATGTATCATTTACTCCTTCAAGTGAACTGTATTACTATAGGGAATAGTGATTGAGGCCAGGGTTTAGGGAGCGATTTCGGATTCAGCCCATTAACCCCTGCTTGTAACTACTGTACACCATTTTGGGGACAAAGAGCCTCTCCTTTGATGGCCATACAAAAGTAGCCATGTACTACTGTTCAAAAGTTTGGGGACATTCAAAAGTTTTTAGGAGATTTCTTATGGTCACTCAAGGCTGCATTCATTTGAATACAAATACAGTGAACAATATTGAGAATATGATTACAATTTAATATTTAAAATAATTAGAAACAATTCTTATTATTAATATTGCTGCCTATTTTGTGGGAAACATGATTCCCTTTTTAAAATCCTTTGATTAAGTTAAAAAGAACCGTATTTATTTGAAATAGAAATGTATTGAATCATTATAATTAAATGAAATTCACATTGTATAGCGCTTTTAAGTTAACACATCGTTTCAAAGCAGCTTTACAGAAAATGCATGACATAAATGTCTTTAATGTCACAATGTATTAATGTAAATAAAAATTAAACTTTTTGCATGGAAAAAAAAAATCACAAATAATATAAGTTGTGTTGCCAGTGCCTTTGTAGAGGGCTCTTGAAAGCATGAAATGTACTTTCATACTGTAGGCTATTGTGCCTGTCTGCTGCTTTTCACACTACAGCTCAAGATAGTCTCTTGGGATTGTGTGGTGCCATCAGCCATTAAGAATTTATAAATGCATGTATAAATAAGAATGTATGTGTATCATTTAAATAATAATTTTATAATCACTTACAGCACCTTCAGGATGTTGGCTGAAGGACCAACCAATGTTCATGGGTCCGGTTGCAACGAACCCCTTAAACTAGAAAACCCATATGATAAGGTTTTATTGTTTGCTGCTATACCCTAGTCATAATGTGTTAATGTCCAGAAAGTCAACAACCATGTCTTTATAATAAAGTCTCAGCTGATGTCTGGGTGACATCCTCTATTCCAACATTGCTTAAAAGAATATGCATGATTCAGTGCATTCAACACAAAAACTGCATCAAAACAAACTGTACACTATTGAAAAGCAACAATCATAACCTAAAGTGTAAAATGCATTCCATTTGCAGATGTGAAAGCGTGTCAGGATTTTCCCATTGTGAGCCGATCGAATTAAGTCTATTAAAGATTCAAAAGCTGAAACCGCTGAGGACGGCATTCCTGCCTTCCTTATGCAATAACCGACAAATAAAAGGAACTTCTTTTAGAAAACATGAAGGACACTTTTAGGAATAGTGGAAATAGATTGAGTTTGATGATGTCTGATTAAAAGGTCTGGGTCAAATGTGAGGTGCTCATAATTACCCCTTATTTAACCCTTGGGGCTATAATGTCTGTTGCTATGCAAAAGCAAACCTAGGGCAAACGACTGTGGTGACCCAAATCTAGAGCAGTCTTGTGGTGCTATGAATGTGTGTGAGTGCTTTGATGCAGTTTTCCTCAAGGAAACAAAAAAGTGTTGCACCTTGCATAAAGTGCACAGACATAAAGGACAGTGCAACATCAAAACAGGTCAGGCACAAACTGCTGGCTTGCACAGTAGATCTAAGGGGGGTTAACACAAACGCAGCTCCTGAAATGTAATCTGTACGGATAAAAAGGACCTGAAACAACCCACAAAGGTGCTTTGGTCATTGGAGGGTGGGAATACCCACGAAAGGTGTGCAAAAGACTTCCCTGCTGCCACCAAGCCAGGATGTGCGCCAATGTTGTCACCCAAGTCTGAAATTCACAATCAATGGACACCCAAATGATCACTTAATTTGGTGATGTGAGACATGTCGGAGACACTCATAATGCCAAGGATGCTTTGATCAGGTGATGGACAGTTTTGTCTGATGCATCAGCAACCCCTGCTCAAACACATGCATGCCATCCTGCAGCAATATATTTTTCACAAAGCACGTCAAAGATGCAAACACTTACATGCCAGATCGCGAAGAAGATGAGAGAAGCACAGAGGACAAGAGAAAGCATATAGCAAAAGGCAGCGAAAGTGAACATAATTGAGAGGAAACTGGAAGGAAAATCTCCAGGAGAGAAGACGGTGCTCAGCGCCAAACTGGACTGAATGAATGGAAGCAGTTACGGGGCACGCGAGAGGGAGAGCATCATGTTCTTCATCAAAATATTTGCAACAATGTGTTGCAAACCTCGGCGACAGTTCACTGCGATCGCTTTGCCATATTTACGAATGAATTATAATAATTATTTTTATTATAATTATAATAATAACAAAACGTCCAGTGGTGCGTCGATGTTGCGCGAGTTGCAGCAGTGTAGCGAAGTCCCTGCGAGATCAAGGCATTTGTGGACGGTTAAGCAAATTGTGCATTAATATTTTCCCATATGACGTCGTCGGCAGTGATAGTCCATTAAAGATGGAGATTTTGTGCGGTGAGGACTTGGAACATGCAGAAATTTGAGTTAATGCACTGACACACGGTCGGTCCTGATGATCAGTTCACCTTCCTAAACTGAAGGAGCAAGAATATGCTGGCTAACAGGTGGATTTAAAGAGCTCTCTCTCTCTCTCTCTCTCTCTCTCTCTCTCTCTCTCTCTCTCTCTCTCTCTCTCTCTCTCTCTCTCTCTCTCTCTCTCTCTCTCTCTCATAATCATACACTGGGTCAAAAGCATGTCCAATGTTACTTTCCTACTTTAAACAGACATATTTACACTTTGAAATTAATTAGATTAATTTAATGACTTCACTAAAATTAATCAATCACTAAAACCAACTGTCACGGCGGAACTCATAGGCTGGCTACTTATAGATTGAAATATAAACAGAAATATATAGTATCTTTTAAAGAATCACAAAGTTATGACATGGCAGAATGAAGAGGTTCATTTTATATTCCTGCTATAAATAATAACACCGTCAGATAAAACGAGTTAATATCAAAGTCAGTACAATTTTCCATATTTCATCGCCACTGAGTTTAGAAACACCACTCGCTTTGGATAGTTATATTTAATACATAAACTTTGCCCACCAATTTGCCTGTTTTGTTCCATAACCCATACTCAAAGAGAATCAGTGCATACTTGACTATATTGGCCTACTTTCCTAACTTACAGGCTTATACATTTAGCATTTTTTATATAGGCCTATATTGAAAATATATTTTGTTTCAGAGGAGTTATGCTTTATATTGTAGGCTATTTAACTACCACCCTAGTAAAATATAAATTATTTTCTTGCGCCATCTTGCGTTTCGACATAAGAAAGACATACCATTTTAAATTCTGACTTTAAATTTTGTGATTTAATAAAACAAATCGATCGACAGAATTACCATATTAATAAATGTAAGATCAGTATTAAGTAAGTGGATACCTGAACAGATAAATACACGATCGATTTACAGTGCATTTGTAGGCGATAACAAACCTGGCAAACTGGTATGGGCAGTTTTGTTTATATTCTCCGGGCAACGGATTTTTTACAGTTTTTTTTTTTTTTTTATCTATACAGCCTTCAATCCTCGATAGAAAGATCCTCAGTCCATATAAACGGAACATTTGCATACAGTATGGACAGGAGGTAAGGTATCCAGAATAAAATATAGGCTAATATTGGTCTATTTATTTAGCTTAGGCTACTACAAAATATTTATAGGCTATTTGTCTTCGTCATTGTATAGTAGGCTTTGAGGTGGGCGCAAGTGAGATAAAGTATTTTTTAAAATGACTCATTGCAACATTTTGCTCACAATAACAGGAAGTAGCCTAACGCTTAACTTGATTAAACTATTTTTCCATATTAAAACGTTGTACCCCTCAAGAAGATGTACATGAAGACTCATGAAAAATCATTTGTTTATGTAAATGTATGTAAATAATTAATTAAGCTGCTGTTAACTACATGGCACATTTTCTGAAAAACTAGTGTATTTTTAAAATAAACACTTTTTTAATAACAACACAAACATACGTTCAAAAAGTACCACGTAACTGCTTTGTGATTTTTCTCTCTTGTCATTTACAGTGAAATGTCACAGTCATACACGGATATGAAGAAACACACTGACGTCAGTGACTCATTCTGGAGTTTTGGAAAAGAGCAGGAATTCAAGCCTCACATTAGACACGTTGAGCCTGTTCTTACTGAGTATTTCATACATCGATTTCGTTCTCATAAATTATTAACGTGGATTTAACTATAAGTTCCCTGTGAATGACACCTTTTTCAGTTTTCCCCATAGCTATTTGAAGCAGTGGATGCAAAGTGTCAATGTTTTATTGTATAATCTGAATTGTAAATTGAACTGAATTTTTGACTGGGACACACAATTTGGTTACAGCTAATTGGGATACACTTGTGATCTGAATGTCTATTTATATTCATATATTGGTGTTTTTCTTCTACACTACATTAATGTGATGCCAATGGTTTTAGATGTGATCTTGACTGGAAATCCCATTTGCGCTGGATACCTGAACCTCGATACAGCGATGCCCCATTTCCACACATCAAAGATATAAAGTTTCCTGATGAAAGGAAACTGATGAGATCCTTCCCACGTGAGTTAGGCTTTGATCAGCAGAAATCTGTTCAAGTTAATAAAATGATCTCAAATGGTGGCCATTGTACATGGAAACTTTGTAATGTTTTCAGTAGAGTAATCTGGAACATCTAAGATACTTTTACTTCTTTCTTTGGAGTTTGTTGTTAGATTATATTAAATTATATCGTCATGTCTATTTATTTTAGAAGCTAATATGATGTCAGAGTCCGAGTGGAGCTTTTATCCAAACTTTGGACAGCCCAAGACCTATCACACTGGAAAGAGATGTTATATGGATGGCATTAATCATACGAGAAGCATGAGATGCATTTCAGAAAATTCCCTGGAATCATCCATTGGGAGGAAAAAGCAGGGTAAGAGCAACATTACCAATAATGTTACTCACTGCTGCTGTTCCCGACCATTTATATAGAGAAATTGTATTTAGTAATGTGTACATCAGTGTGCCCATGTTGATTTAGATCTCGGGTCATTTGTATTTATTTTTCTAATATACATAGTTTGAAATATTTGTGGCCTGGGAGACATTCTGAACTTTAATATAAACCATTTTCTTTCACAGACAAATGCAGCATCTACCCATTAACAAAGGTCAGGCCATTTCTAGTTCCTGAGTACAGCCCTGACTTTCACAAATATGAATCAACACTACGCAGGACCACTTTTGGGTAAGGACCAACATGCTTACTGTAGATGCAGAAAGATGGAACGGTTGCCATGTCTTCATGCAAATTAATGAACATTAAACAAATGTTTACCAAACATTAAACATCTAAAAGTTCCACACTAAACTGAACAAACACCCTATAATTTGGACTCTGACTTGTGCACATGTACCATACAGCACACTAGAGCAATTGGAACACACTCAAAGACAAGGGCTTCATCAGAAATCATCCGGGCGAAAAAACTGTGTGAGACAAAATAAATATGTCTGAATTCACAGTACTCATAAAAGAGTAGTCAAAAAGTACCCTGATGACCTACTACTTCCAGCAGGACTGTAAATTGTGAATATGATGGACACTTTTTATATCCCATGAGGCCACTGAGGATTTATGAATGGTGAAGTGAAGTGACGCAATTGACACTGGTAGATCATATACTGTATGATAATGACAACATGGTGAAGATAGTACATCTGCATGCATTACAATCTTAATACACACATTCATACTATATAGAACATACTTTTTTAGAAGTCGTGTAGTAATTACTTGTTCAAAATAAGTACCCGCTTAAGATAATATGCGATTTTGGACGTAGCTGGGACTATAAATATAAAAGGTCCGAATGATTTAACAAGAATAGTTAACAAGAAACATCTGGAAGACAAGAGCAAACAAAACTTCAAAGTAAAAGCACAGGCATAGATCATAACCTCATAAAAAGGGAAAACACCAGTTAAATGAGTGAATCTATCTTACATGTTTTTTTAAATATTAATCCAGGTCTGGATCTTTTGCCACATTCAAATCATTTTTACACCTAAAGCCCCCAACAAAAAACATTAGGTAGGTAAAACAAATCATCTTATTTATTTTGTCATCTAAATAATTGTATTTTTATAAGAAAAATGTGATATGTGTAATAAAATATTCATTCCAAACCTGTAAGATTTGATTCATCTTTGGAACACAAAATATCTTTTAGATGACATATTTCTGTCCCACCCCTGACAGCTATGCAACTTTGACACTTAAAAATGTTCATAAATTGACTGTTTTAGATTTGCTTTCGCTTAAAATTATGAGCAGATTGAATTTAGGCTTTTATTCACATATAAACATTGATCTGTGTTTTTTGTACAGTAGTTTGTGTTTGGTAGTTGTGTAACTGTCTATGGAGGGACAGAAAGCTCTCAGATTTCAACAAAAAAATCTTAATTTGTCTTCCAAAGATGGACAAAAGTAATGGGTTTTGAAGGTGAGTAAATGATGACAGAATTAAAATGTTTGGGTGAACTAACCCTTTAAGATGCTGTATATATTTACAGTCCACCGTATGCAGAGAAACATAAAAGTCGTCTGCGAGAGGAGGACATTCTTGATGTCCAGAGTTTGAACAGTTGGAGGCCAGCACCAGACATCTATGACAGGACACCTCATTTGTAAAGTGTTGAAATCATGCTTACATATTTTTTGAACAAACAAAATGAATTTTCTTTCCTTTAACGCCACTTCATGGCTTTCCATTGAGACATGCTTTAGCACAGCTTCACATTGGAAAGGACTGAAGCATTATTTTCCCTATTAGTTAGGCCTCCATCAAACAGATTGTCCTTGAATTCCCTGACAAATGAATTAAGATCTTCGCCCAGAATTGAATCGCAGGATAAAATAGAGAGCAGTAGTTATAAACAGAATGTCTTTCAATTTCTGGTTTTAGGATTATCAGAATTGTCATAATCAGAATAATAAGCGAACATTTTATTGCAGTCCACTGAACCATATTTTACAGTGCATGTATTTTCTTTTGTAATAATGTTTTTATCTGTGTTTGATATTTATAAGACCCGCAAGCTTATCATCACTGCACAGCCTGAATTTTGTCATTGTTGTGCAGCAATACTGTCTCTGACCTCACACAGCACATTTTGATAATATGATCCTCGACTCGCATCACATGCAGTAGAGATAGATGATATTATTTCAGTCTGATAATGCTATAAAATTTCCATAAAATCTACCCAGAGGGTAATACCAGCCCACAGTGTCATTCATATTTATATAGACCACAGATGTTCGGCCATTAGAAGTTGTTTAGTTATTTAGCTCTCAACTAAATGTGTTGGAAGCCTTTTAGTGCATGCCATTTAGTTGCATTTTCCTATTATCATTAAGGACAATAAAAGTGATAAATGAGAGAGTGAGACCGGTTGAATAGTGTGTGTCCATTTACTACAGCTGTGTGCAGATCCCTCTTTGGGGGGGGACCACATTTGCATGCATTTATCTGTTATCTGAAGTTTCTTTTCTTTTTTTAAGTGACGAGAGGCATTCAATGGTGACGTCAATTTGCAGTTTGCTTAATTGCACCAATACCTATCTTTATATTCATCGTTTTATGCATCTTTAAATACTAATTTAGAGATTTCCTGATTGGCTGGTTATTGTGAAATGAAGTGGTTTCCGTTCCAAACAACAGGCAGAGCTCATTTTTTCATTGGACCATGCATTGCAGGGCCCCAAGGCATATTGATTTACCCATGAAATGTGTGTCCATTTACTATACAGCCATGTGCAGATCCCTCTTTGGGGGGTCTGGGACCACTTGGAGCAATCTGGCATCCTGAACCTTGCACAACACTTTACAGGTATTACCTTATCTGGTACAAACAGGCCTCGCTGTTTTCTGCACTTGCCCACGAGACAATTTCAGACCTGCTGCATCACTCTTGGGAGAATTAATGTAAGGACCTAAATTTGTACATTTTCTGTGGCATTTCTAGAGTTTGTGGTAGCCACTATGCAGTAACTGCACATTGTGGAATTTGGCACATACTTCTCTCTATAATGACAGGAAACATAGACATGTTGCTCGATCCAACTGTCGGGTGATGGGGACACAAAAGTGCAGAAGATTGTTTTAACGAAAGCCCTGGAGATGTCAAACGTGCGTAGTGCTATTTAGCAGACTCGTAGGGGTATTGTTCATTTACACCGGAACTGTAACTATACAAAGCTGTCGTTTGACTTGACTCATTCCATTCGAATCATTAAATCAGTGCAACTGGATCAGCTGAATTTAAAATGAATCATTCAAAGTGATTTGTGAACCTAATTGTGCATTAAAAAGTTCTAGAAACCCTAAAGTTTTTTTTAGAGGGTTAACTAATTCATTCCTGAAAAATAATAATATAAATACTGAATTGAATATCGTAGGGGTTAGTATAAACTGCTAAATCATAGCAAAAAAAAAAAAAAAAAAAAAAAAAAAAAACTATATAGGGTCCTAGTTCGTTCACGTATTCTCATCCCAGTAACCAGAGGGCGCAGTTTCTGAGTTCCTGAGTTCGATTCCAGAACTAAAAAAGTGGTAAACAGTTCTGCTAAGGTTAGTAAATACTGCAGCTAATGTGGAGGATGGGATTGTGGTGTCTGTTTAGTTTTGTTGTGTAACAGAAAATCACAGAAAGAAGGTCACAGTGTGTTTTGTTCAGAGAAAACACAATTCTCATAGTCCTTATTTTTGAGCATGATCAGTTGTCCTTTGGTAATCAAATTTAGCTTGCAAGAACATGAACAAGCCAATGTCTTCTTGTCTGACACAATACAGAACACAGAGGAAAAAAACAACAAGTCCATTTGTAGGCCATTTGAAGCCATTTGAAATCAATAACGGGTTCATTTCTCCAGTCAGATATTGTTTACCGTTGTGTCTCTTTAAAAAAAGGTTAGAGTAGTGTAAATCAAGAATGCCATTGGTGAAGGCCATTAGACTCACATTTTGCTCATTCATGTTCAAAATGACATTTTGATGTTATGTGAAAAAAAATATTTTGTTTTTTTCTGACATGTTATAGCCTGACATTTCAAGAATGGCTTTCCCAACACTTTTAACATTGTGACAATCTTTAAAGCCGGTGACAAGCTCCCTTGAGAATTTATAAGCTTCACAGATCACCTTTGAGCGCATTTATGTCAAAAGGGGAAGACGAATCCCTGCCACAAAAGAGCACAGAGCGCACTGTCTATGAGAGCGCATCATCATGAATCACTTAGCACACCAATGTTGATGTATTCTTTTGGAATAAATGCATTCGGAATAAGAAGTGAGCAATTAAATGTATCTTTAGCCGAAGATTCTTTTAAAAAAAAAAAGCGATGAGAGTCATTCAATTGCAACGTCATGGCAACGTTAGTCACGAGTCATGGCAACGTTGCATTTGGAGTAATTGCCACCAATGCATTTATTGGTTATCATCTTTTTATGCATCTTTAAAGACTAATTTAGAGATTTTCTGATTGGCTGGTTATTGAAATGAGGTGATTTTTGTTCCAAACCACAGGCATAGAGTTCACTTTTTCTTTGAACCGTCGCAGGGCCCCAGGGCATTGATTTACCCATGATCGCTCATTGATCCCTGGCCATCAGAGAAACCCCCGACACAGCACTCTGTAAGGATTTGTTTCTGACAGTGGTACTGCTGTACACTGACAGTATTAAGTAGATTGCCTACTGATTAACTACCAGCACTGTAGGCTTTCTGGTTCAATGTGTGCAAGGAAAAGCAATGCTAAGAGAGGATCACGGTAGTCTGTTGTGAAATATTAATGAAAACTTTTACAAATTTGAAATCTAAATAAGTTGGGAATTTGACATTTGCAGGGGTCACAAACTTAATTTATGCACAGTGAGGTCAGTGCAAACTTGAATGGATTTGGATTTGTTCAGGCATTATAAACAGGCTAAAAAGGAAAATGTCAACCTGACAGCATGTTGTTATTTTCTTATAGTTGTACGATTGGTTTGTTTTTATGAGATCACAGTGAAAGGTGTCTTTATTGAAGCAACCACTAGATGACACTGTTCATTTTCTGTTTGCATTTGACTCTCAGAATATGATCTCACTGACAAAATGCAATTTCCTGAATGCGGGATACAGTACAAAATCATTACCTTAATTTTTTTTTTTTCACTAAAAATATTGAAACGTCTTTAAAGCAATTTTCCCCCCTCTATGATTAGAACATATTGTTTTTTGCATGATCCTTTAATTTTTTATGCATTTTTGATTTGATGCATTCAAGTAAAACATTTAATAAAACATAAATCTTATATATATAAATATATTGAAATATAAATACATTGTTCTAAACCCTTTTTACTTTCTTTCTTAGAGGTTAACTTGCAGATTGTCTGAGCTGCTCTACAATAAAAATGAATAGTGACCACAGCTGCTCCTGTTCCCCATGATCACAAAGCATTTCTGACATTGTTATAAACATACTTCTGTGTTCCACGTAAGAAAGTATACCACATATATAAGAAGAGGCCTCTCAGAATATCAGAATCTCTATTCCAATTTCTTTAAGTGAGTGTTTAATTTAAATGCACCACAGGCCTTGCAAAGTCAAACCCCGCTGGAGCTGCCCATGTGTCTGGGCACTGCTCTAATTTGTCCATCGCATGAGCCAATCTGTGTAGGACACTGTCTGCTGGATCAGCACTTTATCTTCAGCCCACAATGCTCGCAAAGCTCATTCCTCCTATCCTCCTATGCTCCACTGCTCGTGTCTTTTGTTAGTTTGCTCCGTTTCCCCCTGCATTCACTCATGACCTGTGCCTTTTAATTTACCTTTAGTATTAGTGAAGTCAGGAGTCAGCCTTTTGAATACAACTGGTCTAGTCTATTAATAGTGTCCTTATGCAGGCTGCAAGTTCATCTTGATGGAAATGCACTGATAATCAATACTATACAGAAGCAATATGCAGTAACTGATTGAGAAGCAGGTATACTGGATTGAGTTTTTTTGGTGAGCAGAGCAGATCACAGTCAGATTGGACTTGGCCACAGTATAATTAAAGATGCATTGTGATAATGTTTGGGTCACTGAAAACATATTTGGAGGTGGTCTGGTATGGATTCCTACAACATTTAATGAAGGTTAAAGGGTTTACCCAAAAAAGACATTTCTGTCATTAATTACTCACCCTCATACTCATTAATTACTCACCCAATTTGCCCCTTGGCCTCTGTCCATCATGGCCTCCTAATCATCCCCATATACTGATTCAGCTTCATCACTCTGTCTCCTCTTCATCAGTAAGCTGGTGTGTTCTGGCGCAATATGGCTGCCGTCGCATCATCCAGGTGGATGCTGCACTTTGGTGGTGGTTGAGGAGATTCCTCTTTCCATATGTGAAGCGCTTTGAGGTCCTAGAAAAAGCCAGTAGCACCTCATTGCAGTACACGAGATCCAGGGGGCGGAGTTGGATCCAGATCTAAGGGGTGGAGATGGGTAGGATTAGGGGTGGGGTTAGGGATGAGGGGGCCGAGAAGGGTAGGATTAGGGGTGGGGTTAGGGATCAGGGGGCGGAGATGGTTAAGGTATATGTAAGGATCCAATCTGGATCCAACTCCTCCCCCTGGATTTCGTGTTCTGCAGTGAGGACCTCCTTGAAAAAGGGCTATATAAATGTAACAAATTAGTATTATTATTATCATGTCATTCTAAAACCATCTTTGGAACACAAATAAAGATCTATTTTTCTCTCCATAGACTCCATCCTGAAAGGAACTAAAGACATCGTTAAAACAGTCCATGTGTATTTTTCAACCTTAATTTTCTGAATATGCAATTATTTATCAAATCATTTCATTGTGTTTCACTTGGAATCTTGTTTCTGCTTTTTCTTCTTTATTCTCGCACAAAAAAAAAACACATTTTACTTTTTTTTTTACCCTTTCTTTATCTTTTCGACTAATACCCATTAAAGTCAACATGAAATTAAATTTAGTCTATTTCATAAATGCATGTTATGGTCTGGATTATATTCAAAACAAATTTTATAGTAAGTGAATATATCTTAAAATATTTTATTTTTTTTAAATGTACCTCATAATCTGTAATTATTAGATTATCATAATTCGATATTCTGGAGAAACAATGGACATACGTATATGGAAGAAAGATCTGTCGCTACTTCTGTTTTATCATGACTTCAACATCCTTTACAGATTTGTTTAAAAAAAAAAAGAAAATGCAAGAAATTAATAAAAAAAAAAAAAAACGTTTTGAATTATCTTGTGAGTTTGCTAAATTATGGAAATATTTCAGCTAAGTCAACCTCTCATGCAATATGTACAGTAAGTGCTTTTTGGATGGGTAAGTGGAATAGCAAAAGGAAACATGCAGCAGAGCATATTT